CCCCCCCACCCCTGGGGGCTGGGCTCCGCCCCTGGCTGGTTTTGTCATTGCTAGGAGCGCCTCGACCGCCGCCATGTCCGCCTCCCTCCGCGCGTTGATCTCCTTCCCTCTCCTCGCCGCGGCGTCGCGGACTTCGTCCCCTCGCACCACGTGGCTTTGCCAGACCTGCTCTCCCGTCGTCTGGCAGGTTACCCACTCGCCTCCCTCATACATCGCAACCAGCTCCCCCCCGCCCGCTCTTCTGCCCATCTCCTTGTTCAGAATCTCGAAGACTCTCCTAGCGTTGTTGCCGCTATTCTCTGTCGCAACCTCCTGCATCACCTCTGTGAGTTTCTCCCCCCCCGTCCGCGGGCACAGGAGGAACTCCTGTTCAGCGTCGCGTCGTTCGCGCTCACAGACCGCCAACGCCCTCGCGCGCCTTCCTCTATTCGCCAGCTGTGGCTGAGCCTCGAGGGCCTTCCAGAGCTGCGCTAGGTTTGGCTCCCTCCAAAAGCCCTTCCCCTCCCATACCCTCCTATATCCGTCGCTCATCGTGCCGCTCCATTTCTTGACCTCGTGCCGTATCCTGGACCACTTCGCCACTTTCCATCGCAGCCTCTCTCTCTTGGACTTAGGTGGCGGCCCTCGACCACCGGCCCCCTCGCTTGCCTCTCCGCCTCCCACGGGCCGCTCCTCTCCGCCCACTTCGTCATCGTCCTTTGCCCTCCTGGCCGCGACCACCGCCCTAGCATGTCGCGTGAGCACCCTGGTCGCTGCGACTTGATCTCAAAGAGTAGCTTGTTCGGCTGGGCCACGCCCGGTGAGAAACCGAGCCGGACCGAGACCTCGTTCTCATCAAAGTAAACCTTTTGGCCGCTGTGCTGCACGTTGGCTCGCAGCTGGTAAATCTGAAACGCCTGGGTCATCTGCTTCTGCACGCTGGCGACAGCCTCTGCGTAAACCTCGTCCGAGCCATACCTCTCCGCCGGCATCAGCAGCGCCGAGGGGCAGAGCAGCGTAGCCCGCACATCCACCTTCCACTGGTCGAGCGGCGCGAGCGACCAGCCCGCCTTCTTCCACATCATCGTCTCGGGCAGGCACTCCTCCTTACACACGACCATGTGAAGATCGTGGCGGAACTGGCCCGCCCGCGACTCCTGCACCACCCCCTTGACCGTCGCGGCGCAGCCCGTGAAGTCTGGGAACGGGTTCGCGCCCCACCCCGCCGCCGGCTTGCCGAGCTCCGCTCCTGCCAGCAGCGCCGCCACCTCGTACGCGGGTTGTACTGCTGCTGTGTTCTTTTTACCCAGAGGATCGCTGAATTGGGTCCCTTGTCCAAAACACAAACGCCGCGAGCGTTTCCATACCGGTCAGTTCAGAGCAGCTCGAAGCTGCTGGCCGCCTCGCGGTACACCTCGGGGCGCGCCTCCCACTCGGCCGCGGGCACGCGGGACGCAAACGTGAAAAGGTTGTCCCGCTTGGCGCCGACGACGCAGACAGTGTAGGTCGGCGCCTTGTTCAGGGAGGGGTACTCGACCTTATACTCGAACTGGTAGAGCGGCAGCCCGGTCTGTGCGGAGGCCCGCTCGAAGGAGCCGAGAAGTGTCGTCTCGCGCACGCCCGGCTTTGCGATGCTCGACTGCAGCAGCCGCTCCGCAGCCTCGGCGGGCGGGCCCAGCGTGCCGCGCAGGCTGAAGCCGGCCACCAGGCTGCCGATGACGACGCTCAGGTTCTCCTCGCCCGCCTGGCCGGGAGGTCCAAACGCGACGTCAGGCCCGCTCCCGCGCGGCGGCGCCCGGGCGGCGGCGCCGCCGCGAGCGGCTGCGAGCGCCGGGTCCATCGTCCGCTGCGCGTAGGCTCGGTCGGCGTTGCGGAGGAAGACGGCCTGGTCCTGCACGTAATTCGCCGGGTACCGGAACTCGAACCGGCTCGCCGGGTCGACGTAGCGCTGGAAGCCGGGCCCGTAGTCGAGTCCGCCGGCAGAGTACGGGTAGAACCGCTGGTCCGAT